TCAACTAATCACTTTTACGGGTACCGCTCCACTCAAAACATGTGCAACTAGATGCCTTTGTCCAGACTAGCTTAACCCTCCTCCTTCTCCCCTCTGGAGCCCCTTCAACTAATCACTTTTACGGGTACCCCTTGACCAACCGGTAACGATCGAGAGCTGTATGCTAATCAGCCTGTCAAGCTGTGATTTACTCCAAACCAAGAATCTCAACAATACAAGATTTCGCCTTTGCGACCGCTTAGGTCTATCAATCCCTGTCGCTTCAACAGTCGTCGAGTCTGAATAGAATAATAATAATAATATAATAATAGTTCGGACTCCAGACTCGGACATGAATAAAATTAAAACCAAAGTCCTCCAACACCTCCATCCTTCATCTCTTCACTGAGCAGGAGGCAAACCGCCCTGCTGCTGCTGCTGCTGCTGCTGCTGCTGCTGCTGCGGCTGATTCCAAGGGCGTACCTGGGTTTGGTAAGAAGTCCCCCAAGCGCTCACAGGGGCTCTAATGCCACGCTCCACGTCGTTCACAGCATCCTTGATATCCCGGGGAATGAATTCCTCGCCCCAATTTTCGATACATCAGATCCAACCATCCTTGTACGGGGCGCTCCAGCTGCACCGTCGTTGTTGATGCCTTCAATGACGCCCTTGACATGCATGATCTCGCGTTGCCAGTGCATGCCTTGATTCTGGTTAGGGAATTGGATGCGCATGAAATAGTTGCCACTGACATACAAATAGTTGAAAACCATGTTGGAGAGGCGTGGTGCTTGTTCCCACATGCTGAGAACGTCGTGGTTTCTCTATCGTTTCCACGGTCCGATCGTTCCAAACCCATTTCCACGATTCAATCCAAAGTCGTTCCGAGTGACGCACGGACCAGGAAGCTTCCGAATATCCGTAATGTTAACTTGACGATGACGTCACTATCCGGATCACCTTCACCGGTTATCATGTTGAAGTACGACTAGATTTACCGGTAAACACTTCCTAATTACCAAACACCCGTGACCGAGCATCTGAATTGAAGTTCACCCCAGGAACACTTAGAGAAAGGCACGTGTGAAAGCAAGCCGAAACCCCACTCCACACATTCCAAGATCCACTTGCCAGACCGCCAGATCCTGGCAAAAGGAAGGGCGTATCCTGTACTGTACTGTGTACGACTGTACTGTATCTGGAACAACGAGAACGAAGAAGAAACGATTTCAAGGTCAGTGGCCACTGGAGCTCGCGACTGAGGCTCGCGTTTAGTGCGTCAGCTGTCTTCAAGCTTGCAAAGCTACTGTGCGCTTGACGTTGAAAGCACACAATTGAAAGATCGCCTTCACCCCTTTCCTTGGTTTCCATGTTGCGCTGCTTGCGCCCTTGATTGCTTGCCTTGTGTTCCTGCATCGCACTCTCCCCTCCAGCTCTGTCCCCATCCTCATCTTAGCTCTCTCTAATCCATAGTAACTCAATCCTCATGAACCATGAAAGAGCAACAATATGGTACCGGTATGGTAGTAGAGAACAGAGACATGCAACATGGAAACCTAATTTACTCCCTCCCAGTCAGTGATGGTGCTTTTCGTGCTTTCTAAGTCTTCTTTTCGCGTTTGGCCGCCTGGTTGTCGATGTCATCATCAGCCCTGCGGCGTCTCGTTCCGTCGTCCTCTCCTAAGGATGGCTCTGGGGATGATGCTTCACTCTTGCTTGACTCGAAATTCGCAATCATGAAGAGGCATACTTTGGCTTCTTCTGACAAGTCTTCGGCAGCTAGTCCTTGCGGGAAAAGCGCTTGAAGGTATCCGAGTAGGTCAGAGCCTTTGCAAGCAAAACCGTGGAAGTAATCCAGTAGTGTTTCCACTCCTTCGATGCAGGACACAACAGCGCCCAAGGTCCGTGAGCATCTAATCCATTCGAGAGTATCCACTATCTCTTCATCACCAAGCTCGTCAACCATAGGCTTCAAAAGAATCAGCAACTGCTCATAGACGGCCTTCTTCTGCTTCGTTGCGTCTGTCTTCATCGCTTCGTCGCACTCAGCGAGAGACAGGAGATCGCAGAGAAACAGCTTTTTCTCGTAATTGAGCAGAACATGACGCCAGCGCAGGTCAGATTCCATGTATTGGTAACCATTCGCTGCGAATCGCATGAGTTCTTTCCCCACATCCGGAACCCACTGCCAGCGATCAGCAGCATTATGGATTTCATAGCCATAGGGCATGAGAAGACAGGGGCTGGTGCCCAGGTACAAAGGGCGAGATATCGAGCTAGAGCGAAAGATAGACGTCTTGATCCCGCCGTACAGCTCTTGCCATCGTCTTCCTTCCTCTTCGGCATCTTGATATTTGCTGTAACGTTCGTTTGCCTCCTGCGCCTCTCTGTCCTTTTCGTTCGCAGCGTGAGACAGCATCACGTAATAATCCTTGACGGCACAGACGTGGCCACCTAGAGAACATGCCAAATAGACCGTGGCATTCCGGTCCTCGCCAAGCCTTCCCAAGAGATAAAAATATTCGGTTTTTGCACTGGGGATGCGGCCGTCGAACTTGGCACAAAAGGGCTCTTTTGTGTTCTTCTCGAATGTGGGAGTTAGAACCCAGGCGAAAGATCCTTTGGACACTTTGAACACAAATCGACCTCCAAGCTCGTCGCCATCTTCGACTTTGACGCAAGTTGGAGCACGGTTGTCACCGAGCGCCTTGTGGTAGGCTATGTGCAGACCTTGCAAGAGACAAGGAAAAACGTCGCCTCCTTTGTGGACTCGAGTGTAATAAACCACACCTGGAACTTCTCTCTCTCTGTCGTGGACTTGCTTGACAACTTCGTCTTTTGTTTTGACGTCGGAAAAGCGCTTCACTGGTTTGACGGGGCTGTCGTCTCTCTCAGCGCAAGGTGTTTCGTCTTCTTGCTTGACTTTCCTCGCTGGTTCTCGGTCAGTGTTCAATTCATCCTTGGCCTTCTGCGTCCACTTTATGCGCTCATCGTCATCCTTCAAATTGTCGAGGGTCACTAGTACAATCTTGTTATAGGTCATAACAGCTCCCATGGGCTGATCATCACCCGCGGCCTTCATCGCGTACAAGTAGGACCAAATTTGACCGCCCACATTTTCACTGTCGAAGACGTTGCGCCCCCCTCCACCTCCGGGCTCTTCACCTCGATGGCAAAGAATATGCGCCCACCTCGTTTCAGAACAATCAAAATATCTGGTTTCATCAAGTACATGGAAACCTCGAGATGACTTCGCACATGGTCCTCGTTGAGCCCCAGTGCTTCAAGAGCATCATTGATCATCATTCGGCAAAGACTTTGCGGGTAAACTTTCGTAATGGTCCCTCACCCCGTAAAAACCTTTTATTAGCCATCGAGTCCACAGTGACGTATTTTGTAGGATTTTATATTGGTATTCAGCACCAATAGCATATATTACGGTACTTAGAACGACCGTTAATGGCCGGATTCAAGCCAACGCACTAGAATGACTTTGAGCGACCACCGTGTGTCACGTCTTCTTAAGGGGCAGTCCCTTTTTCCTTTGGCAGTTGAAATGTCCAGATTTCGTGACATACCCTAGTCTTGGACGTCTGAGCATTTCAATGGCCAGAAGGAAAAAAATCGAAAGATATAACATCGCATTTCTTTTTTAAGTAAAAATTATTTAACTACAAGGTCCTACACGCACCAACTGGCTCTTTTTTCAGCTTGGCCTTTTAACAGTCTAGAGCCTCTCGGCACTGCTCTAGACATTTTGGCCGACTAGTATGGGACGAACAGTAGTCAGACAACTCCAAGAACATTTGCACAGATGTTTTCATGGGCTTCTCTCATCAGACATCAACACGGTAAGGCTTGTCGTTCTCTTTCTGGCTGCTGCTACCGTCGTTGTTGTTGTTGTTGTTGGGGTCGCTGCCTACAGCCGGATCAGGTTGATGCTTAGGAGCCATCAATGGAACCACCTCAGAAACTTGCCTAAATGTCACAAGGGACCCCCTTGCCGCTGGGGCATTCGAAGAAGGGGGGAGGTTCTGAAAAGGAGTAGGAGTACTGAGTTCCTGACGACGTTTCTGCTTGGCACCCTTAGAGTACTGGTTGACTGTCATTGAAACATAGCGAGCACCACCATTGCTTCCACCAGCTGTTCCTCTTCCTTGGGGGTTTCCAGTAGAGTTTCTACGCTGATTCCTGGTGTAGGTCCCAGTGCCATCCTGTGAGCTCCCTTCAGAGATGGAACTGGGTGGCCCCGCCTTGCCTTTGCCACTATGATCTGGGCACTTGGCTTGGATGCCTTGGACCATCTCCAACAGTCAGTCGATTTGGCCATCCATATGGTTGAGGATTCCATCCTGAGAGTCAAGTCTTTCCAGGACGTGTTCAGTGGAAGTGTTGGACCCAGCATTGGTTGGAAGACTCCAGCTGTCACGGCGTTGTCCACTTGCAGTAGACTTGGAAGAAGAGGAATCACTGCCGGTAGCTCCAATGGCACACTTCTGGGTAGTGTGGCGCTTTAAGTCTGTAGTTGAATCCTTGATTTTGGTGATGACACGAGACTCCATATTGTCAATTCTAGTTTCCACAACCATGCTGACTGTCTTGAAGCCCTCACCAAAGTCACGGAATGCTCGGCTTGTCTTGTTGACCAACTCTGTTGAAGTTTCCTTGGGAACTGTGGAGATCAATTTCGTGGCTTCTTCAACCTTTGTAGTTAGTTGCAGCACCGATCTGGACAGTTTGGCCAACTCCTGGGAAGCACTGTAGTGTGCATCCAGCATGGTCCTCCAAGCTGTTCCCGGAATAGCAATGCTGGTCTTCTGACGTGTCTCCTCGGCTTTGGCAGACATTCTACGAGTTCTCTTATCCGGTGGCCTGTTGAAGATAGTGTGCTCCAGCAAACTGAAGTCAGAATCCGAATCAGAGGAGGACTCCTCTTGAAGGGCCTTCTCAGCTTTCTTTTTCTTCTTTGGATCTTTGCCTGACTTGAGATCAGACAGTACAGGTCGGGGCTTGTATCCTTTGGGGGGAGCCACAATCTCAACTTCAGACTCTGAGTCCGAATCTTCATCTGGCTTCTTGGTCTCCTTCTTCGGCTTACTGGTCTCCTTCTTGGGCTTGGTAGTACTGGTCTTCTTCTTCACCACAGGACGCCTCTTGCTCTCAGACTGGTTCTTGTACGCAGAGTGCTTCCAGGAGTGCTCCTTCGGCTTCTGGATGAAGGCAGGGGCTGGTGTCTTCAGCTTTCGCTCCATGGAGACAGACCCCATTGATTTCTTCACTGGCAATTCTTCTTCTTCCATCTGGGTGAATGCACTGGAGAACTTGCGTTTCTTCTTGCTGGTGGTCTTCTTGGTGGTGAGGGGGGTCCACTTTTTATCTATCTTCTCGTCTTCCTCGTCCTCGGCTGACGAGGGGGAAGAAGGGGGTGGTGTGGGGATCCACCAGTCTCCACCATTCTTCATCACGGGTGTGGATTTCTGGTCAGGAGGGCAGTTCTCTTCATCACTGTCCTGTGTCAGATAGTCGGCATCATCCTTCAACGGCATATTTGGCAGTGTGAGACTTTTCCAGAGGGCTGATTTGTGAGAGGAGTGAGGGCAACAATCAACCAAAATGGAGGCAGCAATCAGCCATGTTGGAGGCAGCAATCAGGGCTGTACAACATCTACCAACAACCTACACATTCCCGAAAAGAGGGACCGCTGAGATGCCGAACAAGGAGTATCCAAGGAGTATCCGTGAACCCATTTGCTGGGCTTTCAGTAGAGATGATACCGGCTCCTACTGAGCAGGGCTTGTGTTGGAGGCAGTTCGGCATGGTGTTGGAGGCAGGTTTCTGCTCGTGGAGGAACGGCTAGTTGGTGTTGGAGGCAGTTTTCTGCTCGTGGAGGAACGGCTAGTTGGTGGTGCCTCCCACTGTATTCATGCCAGTGGAAGAGAGCCCTGGAGACGCTGCTGATTGTCCGGCTTGTATGGCTGTAGCGATCTACTGACGCCGCTGTAGCTTCTAAGAATAAACGAAGACGAGTTACAAGTACTGCTAGAGATAGACTGTTAAGACTACTTTATCTGTTCTTGTCTTGCATTGGAGGTACTCCGCAGATGCATAGCTGCTTTCAGCATGGCTCATCGTGATCACTGTGTACTGTAGTTAGCTTGACGGATTTGCATGATCACACGGAGCAATGACAGTACTGTGGATGAATCTTGGCAGCGGGAGCCAATTTTTGCAAGAGAACATAACTCCCAGCATTCTTTCGCACTCTGCATTTTCCCAGCACAATCATCGGCAACACTGCAAACATGAACGACCCGGTGGAACAAGCTCTAGCTGAAAGTCCATCTAGAGACTACATGGGAGCGAGTACTAACGAATACAAACAGGGCGCAGGGTATCCCCACCCACGCTGTAGTTAACTTCTTATTTCGTACTGAAGAGTCTACTGCTCAGTTTCTCATTGATGAGGGTATCATCACTGTACCTGCATTCTGCCCCCTCTGCGACACTCCTCTAGGCCCACCTAACAAACGACAGATTGTTCGATGCCGCTGTAGGAGTTGCAATGACGGCAAAGAGTGGTCCCAATCAATTTATCATGGGACCTTCTTTGCTGAGCACCGTGGTGGCAAACGCCATCTAATGCTGTTTTTGTACTACTGGTTGAATGGTGCTACGGCAAAGCAGTTGGGAACTTATACAGGATGGGGAACTAATAAGGTTAGACTATGGGTAAAGTACGTCCACGAGTTGGTCTGCTCTGTGGTGCTCAGCGAGCAAGGAATGATTGGTGGAGATGGAGTAGTGGTGGAGATTGATGAGAGCAAGTTTGGCAAGCGAAAGTATCACAAAGGGCACCGAGTGGAGGGTGTCTGGGTATTTGGTGGGGTGGAGCTGACTGCTGAGAGGAAGATGTTTGCTGTGACGGTTGATCAGAGAGATAGTGACACATTGCTGCCGCTGATTCTCAAGTTCATCAAGCCTGGCTCAATCATCAGGAGCGACTGTTGGCCAGTCTACTTTTCCATCGAGAACCTTGAGATGGACCTTGGGGATGGCTTGTCCCTGCCACTTTACGAGTGGGAGGGCGTGAACCATTCCAGGCACTTCAAGAACCCAGAGACTGGTGTGCACACCAACACCATCGAGGGGACATGGCATGGAGTTAAGAGGATGGTCCCAATCCGGAAGCGAACCAAAAAGCAGGTGAGTGCTGGAAATCTTTTGTCGCTGTAACTGCTTTTTCCTACCATGGTATCCTAACTTCTGCTTTTTCCTGCAATCCTCCAGGTTCAAGGCTGTCTCTTTGAGTTCATTTGGAGACGCCGGAATGAGGGCAATCTGTGGAACGGCCTCATGGCAGCTCTCAGGGATGTCCGCTATGAATATTAGTGTAGTAGCTAACCAGTAGTAGCCAGTCCCGCTGTTTTGTGTAGCCACCTGTTGACGATTTTACTAGTTGTGTCTTCTGTACAAATTGTGAGAGTGTTTGTTGGTTTTCACGGCACCTATGTTTATCTGTTTAGCACAGGACAAGTCTTTTCGTGATAGAAGTGTGAGCAACCATCCATGCGGATGGATTTGACAGAATCTGTTGTTTTACTGTGTAGTTTTAGTAGTTCATCTCTTTTACATGCCCGGCAACTGACATTTCACGATGACTTGCGGAGCAGGGGCAGCTTTTATATTCATCTTCATACGGTTAGTTATATAAAAACACAACTGACGCATCTCAGTCATGCTTCGTGGCGGGACTTGACGGGATTCAATAAAACGGGTTTAACAAGGGTGAGGGACCATTATGAAAGGAGCTCCGACTTTGCACATCAAATTCGTTGCTATAATTGAAACCGCCTCCGGTACCGGTATTTTTGTACGCTGTCACTAGCACACTAGTCACAGATGTGCGATGTTCAAGCTGGACCGGGATTGTAACATCCTTTATGTCGACCCAAATTTCACCGTCGCCGATGACGACAATCTTTGCCTTAGGGACCGATTCCCCCTCCTCATCGGCTTTGGTCTTGAATCTGATTGTTCGAGTGTTACTACTTACACTCGGCGTCACTGCTTTGTTGAGGATGACAGGGAGTTGTTTGAAGTTTCCGTTTTCCGTACGACCTGCCATAGGCAAATTCACGGGACACTATTTTGAAAGACGTCTCCATTTCGATCGCCTCTAGCATGCCCTCAATTTTCACTTCCTCGTCCCTGGGTAGCTTGCAATATTGCAATAACGCGCGGTTCACCGAACCGATCTCCTCTGCCTCCTGAATGAGGCTGTTTAGCTTCTCTCGAAGCGATTGGTTAGGGCCGGCCATGGTGGAGGGTGAAGACTATGCTGTCATTGCTCAAACTCCTGGCTGCCTCGCTGTTACGTGATGTTGAGCTTGTAACCAGACAATTTCGTCTCCTGGAGAGAGACTTGCTTTAGGGGTAATGGTACCGATGGGGGTAGAGGTTTGAATTATACCCCGCCGCATTACTTAGAAGGCCCTGTAGAGTTACGTATTAGACTATGATTGTACTGACCGGGATACCAGCTCAAACTACTAGCATGATAAGAACATGTACACCTGCACATGAAAGTCGCCTTGTGTTCTTCACATTTTAAAATTTGGCTCCTAATTTTTCGGGTTCGCCTGTGATTTGATTGAACGCTTGATCTTTTTTCAATGACTGACATTGAATGACGTAAGAGGTGCAATGCGAATCTCCGAAAGGTAGTTGTAGTAAAAAAAGTTTTTATATACAGACTAATTTACCCTATATCCCAACCGTTTATACTTATAACAAAAACCCGTCTTCTCGTGAAAATTTATCGTATTGATCTATCTAGGACAGAAGCCAATGTATCCTTATTTGCAAGCATGTCTCTCTTATTGTGGCATGCAAATTCTTTGGTCCCAACCAGCTTCTTCAATAAGAAAAAACCACTCATGGTTCGCAACCTTGATATACACCCGACATAAGCCCCAGTTTCTGACAAGATCCGCCATGAATGTAAACCAATCAACCACACTTACACGGTATATCCTGTATTTGTGTCCGCTTTTTCGCAGAATTGCTGATAATCGTGAACTGCTTACTCTTCATCTTGGTGTGTACTACTTCTCCGTCATAAAACTATCTGGTGCTGAAAGTGTAGTTTTGCTCCGTTACATAAAAGTACGTGGCATAATAATCTCCATTTCATGTTCCACAAGGATAGATTTGATTTGACCTGAGAAAAAAGCCCCAATCTTGCAGCCGTTGTCGAGTTTAATAATCATGGGGGTGCAACCATGCCTCACATTCACCTTTCTCGCAAAAAGCCGAGATCCATAGGCTTCTCCATTCGGAACATTCGTGTTCTCTGTAAACTTTACAGGACACCCCTTATCTAACTTCAAAGCAGGATCAACACGTTTTCGGTAGTCCGAACCGGGTTTTATCGAGTCTTCTCCACATGTCGAAAAGAAGTGCTTTAAAGCCTAATTGCTCTTAACAGGAAACAGTGTCCCTGCTTGATTAGCAATTTGACCGATCTCATGGGGTTGAAGGCAAAATCCGACTTTCTCATAAAAACCTTTTGATTTTGAAGGGAAATCGTGGCACCCAACTGATCTTCTTCTACAGGCCTGGAGGAAGTGGGAAGACTACCGTAATTGACTTATCATGGCCTATGCAAAGAATTCTGCAGTTTGATTGATCATCCATTTAACGACCGACCATTGTTGTCACTGCTATGTCGGGGGTTGCTGCTACAATACTACATGGGGAAACAACGCATTCAGCTGTGGGATTGAACAGAACTCGGAAAGTGTGGCGAAGAACTTGGTAGAAGAATGGAGTGACGCACGGATGCTTATCATCGACGAAATTTCATTCGCGGGGGAACTTGACTTAGTGAAGATATTCCACTACACCAAGACCTTGATGCAAGACGAATACCAACCATTTGGGGGACTTAACTTGGTGTCGCGGGGGACTACTCTCAACTGAACCAGTGGGACGCCCCCCAATTTACAATCTTCAGCACACCATTCCTGAATTTCATGACTCTCTGAATTCATTTATTGAGTTAGATGGAATGCACCGCTTCAAAGACGATCCTGAATGGGGGCAACGCTGTTTAAGATTCCGTGAAGGGCGACCAACAGAAGAAGATATTAAGACCATCAATGACGCCTAGTGGTTGGCCCAACCCATGTTCACCAGAGAACATTCAAGTGCTACTTATCTGAATCGAGATCGAGATCCATTAACTCAGCTATCTTCGAAATTTTTGCGGGAAGAACAACCTGCTGATGATTCCGTGCTGATGATGCAGTACTCATTTTCATGGACGATCT